TGGGTCCTGGTAACAACAGTCTGATTGGGCCATTTAGCACCAATCAGCTCATAGCTCGCATGTGATTGGCCCATTCCACAATCCAGGAAGTGCACCGCTACATAAAAGGGCTCTGAGGCCAACTGCCACAATTGACTGGTGAGAGGCTGGGTCCTGGTAACAACAGTCTGATTGGACCATTTAGCACCAATCAGCTCATAGCTCGCACCCGATTGGCCATTTTAAGATCCAAGCAGTGCACTGCTACATTAACCGCGCTGAGCAGCAGCTGCCACAACCACTTGCGGTGCACCGACAGGGAGAGAGCCACTGCGCCTGCGGCTCCCCTGGCTGAAGCTGCTGGGAACCTAACAACTGGCCCTCTTGGGAGACCAGGTCTGCTCAGGCAACCTGGCCAAGTTGTGGGGCGCAGTCATCAGAGGAGGGGGTTACATCCCCCCACGGCGCCCACACCTCAGGCTTGTGGGGACTACGGTTGGCGGGAGGGGAGGGGCTGCAGGTGGAGAGGAGAGAAGTTATTTCATTTTCAGTCCTCAGCGCCTCCTCGCGCCCTGCGCGGTGTAGAGCGCTCTGGCGCGGCTCTGCCTCACGTGATGCTGTCACAGGAGCGATTGTGTGAGCTGGCCAGGCAGGAGGGGACGGCGACCCAAAGAGGGGGTGTGTCTGGCAAGACCAAGCGCCGGGGCTGCCCCTCCGGTCCCGGGGGATGAGGAAGAGCAGCGGGCCAAACCCTGGACACAGCCGACCCCTAACTGCTGTCCTCTGTCCCCTTCTCGCCTCAGTGGACATCAAGCTGGACCCCGCCACGGCGCACCCGAGCCTCCTGCTGGCCGCTGATCTGCGCAGCGTCCAGGATGGGGAGCTCTGGGGGGATGTCCCCAACAACCCCGAGCGCTTCGACACGTGGCCCTGCGTCCTGGGCCTGCAGAGCTTCTCCTCGGGGCGGCACTACTGGGAGGTGGTGGTGGGCGAAAGGGCAGAGTGGGGCTTGGGGGTCTGCCAGGACACCATGCCAAGAAAGGGGGAAACCACGCCGTCCCCTGAGAACGGCGTCTGGGCCATGTGGCTGCTGAAGGGGAACGAGTACATGGTCCTGGCCGCCCCGTCGGTGCCCCTCCTCCACCCGGACCGGCCGCGCCGCGTGGGCATCTTCCTGGACTACGAGGCGGGCGAGGTCTCCTTCTACAACGTCTCCGACGGCTCCTACATCTACACCTTCAGCCAGCTGCTCTCTGGCCTTCTGCGCCCCTACTTCTTCATCTGCGACACATGTCCTCTCGTGGTGCCCCCGATGACTGCTGTAGACTCAGAAAGCTGGGCATCCGGGCCCCCTCTGGACCCTGCCGGTCCTCTGAGGGACGAGCTTCCCTAAAATCCCAGCTCATAGGATTCTAAACCCAGCCAAAGCCCCAAGCGTGCTGGGGCCACGCGCAGGCGCTCCGAGCGCCGCCGTCAGGGGGAGAACCCTACACAGCGGCGGAACATTCCAGAACACACGGACTATGTTGGGAGGTGCTGAGGACAGACTGTGCTAGCAAGGAAGCCCCTTGTCATCAGACCCAGGAGGTTCCCTGCTTTCTGCGCTTCTTTCTCCATGGAGTGGACCAGGCGCTCCTGAGGTCGCCTCTTGGCCCCACAGCCTGCATTCCGGCCATCCGGCAGGAAGGTCCTCATGGCCACGCAGGCCAGGCTGGCTTCTGCATCCTGGGGTCCGTCCTGCCCCGCTCACATTCCCTCTGGGCGCTCTGTTCCCTCCACCACCTTCCACCTCTGTCCAGGATCCCAGAGCGCGGCAGGCTGCGCTGGAGGCTGCAGGGCAATGCCGGAGCTCAAGCACCCTTCCATCGCCAACATAAACATATATTAAACGTGAAGCAAGGAGTTTATCACGTTACCTCTTAAATGAACAAAACCTATCTACACCATGCACCTCTGGCGCCCCGACTTCCTAAAGAAGGTTGTTCTTTACAAGCCCAAAATGCTGAGTAATATGTTAATTTATTGTTCCACATCTCCCTCAGCACAGGATGCCTGTGGTGTGTAACGTCAGCACCATGGCGGGGTCAGCAGATGCCAGGGCAAAGAGCAGCAGGAGACCCGCGGGCTGACGCTGCCAGAGGCTGCGCACCGGAGGCCGGGTGGAGAGCGACGGCCGGCAGGGAGCGGCTTGCGGACAGGGCAGCTGGCACTCCTTCAAACAGAGCAGGCCTGGTTGTGCCAAGGGACGAATTCTCAAGATCCTCATTTTCTGCTGGACGCGGCGGGGCCCTGGGGAGCTGGATGGGATGCTGCCTCCCAGCGCGTCTAATGACCTGCTGGCTCACAAGGCCCCTCACGCCGGGCCGCGGAGAGCCCAGGACACCGGGCCACCGTGCTCCCCAGGCGAGCCTCGCCGCACCCCACTGCCAGGGCCCCGCGGCACAAGTACCCACATCCCCTTGCTGCTACGGGGACAGCCAGCCAGGAGAGGCGCCCTCCGTCCACACACTGCGCACACCTGCCTGGACCACGGGGCGCTCCAGGAGAAGACCCTGACCAGCCGAGGTCCCCGCTCCACCTGCACCCCGGCCTGGACGGTGAGCAGCAGGCAGCCTGGGAGGAGGCCAGCGGGGCCAGGCCAGTCTGTGTGAGGTGCTGACAGACCAGCCCCTGGGAGCTCGGGCAGACACAGGGAGGACGGCGTCCCCGCGCTCGGGCACGTCAGACCCGTCACCCCAGGCTGCCGCACACCCCACATGCAGGGCGGGTCCGTTTCTCCTCTCTGAGCGGCCGTCAGCCCCCTGTGGCCACCTCACAGGGACACACACAGGGACGGGCGTGGGCCAGGCAGGGGCAGCCGTGGGCTGGTGTGGATTCGGGCTGAGGTGGGGAAGGGCCTCACCAAGCAGACTGGTGGGAGATGGACCCAGTGGGCGGCCCGTGCTGGGGGCAGCGGGGAGGGGGGAAGGACGCCCACAGACAGCCTGGCACCATGGGGGCTGCTGGGTGCACTTGCAGCTAAGCTGGAAATGGGCTGTGGCGGTTCCTCCGCAGGACACGCGTTAGCCCAGAGCCCAAAGCCCCGCTGGGCGGTGCTTTCCCTCGTCCCTCCACTCAGGAACACTCAGAGCGCTTCTCAGCCACAAACGTTTCGTGTTAAAAAGTCTCCAAACGTTCTGGGCAATGAGGCGCTTGACTGGGCCCATTTCAGAGACAAGCTACGACAGGCAGGGAGCGAGCGGGTCTCGGGAAGCTGGTCCTCGGCTCTGCGGGGCAGCGGGGCCCAGGGCCACCTTGACTTGCTGCCTGGAGGCTGCAGGCCCAGGCCTCTGCCGGGATGCTCAGAGGGCACCTTGCAGGTGGAAGATGGAGGCTTCTGTGAACTGTGTGAATTAAGACTAACAACCTGTCTTAGTACACGATTTTGAGACTTATTTCCCCTCAGGCAGGATGAGGGTACTGGGACAAGTGCTTTGCTTCTCCAACATACACCCCTGTGGGCAAGGCGACATCAGGCCCTTGTCGCGGGCGGAGTCGCTGCTTCTCCCTGACCGGGCGGCTACCCCAGCGGCAGGGAGGGGAGCCGGGTGTCCCGGAGCTGAGCAGACAGCGCGTCCTCACCG